ATAAGTTTCTTTACAATTCAAGATCATGACCCTTGGTTCCAAATACATCAAACAATATAAAGGACAAGATGACAAGGAACAAACATGAAAATACACACAAATTGCATAAAATTACCAAAACAACTTGTGTACAATTCACAATACAAGTTAAATACTCACAAGTTTCAATTTGTACAAATTTTTTTACAAAGGCAATCATGACCATTGATTCTAAATTCACTAAACTAATCCAAGAGACAAGATTACAAAATGCGGGAAATTAAAAACACACCAAAGTACCAAAAACATAACAACCACTACAATTCAAATGCGACAAAATCAAATATCAGTGAAGATTGAAGGACCATTTTCCGTTGTGCCCTCACTCAATCCCACTCAACCCACGAAATTAGGGATTTTAAGGAGGCCACTCTAACGAATTTGATTTTTCCCTCACACGATTTTACATAACATAGCTCCATTTTGGTACGAATGAAAATTTTGAATCTGCATCCTATATAAACAAGCGTAATGAGCTTCAAAAGAAAAGGAAAAAAATCCTGGTAAAACTCTACGAAAATTTCACCAGGAAACCTCACTCAAAAAGCTCTCAAAACAAAAAGTCCTCAGATTTATCATCAGAATCTGAGTGTACCTTGATCTTTAAACTCAGTACTTCTTATTAATAACAACCACATGATAGAGGAATAGAAGGGAAAATTGGAATAACATAAGAAGAAGCAGGAAAGAAGGATTCAAGAAAGAAAGAGAAATAAGACAATTTGTAGAAAAATAGAAAAAATGGACAACACCTACTTTTGTCAGTGTGTTGTATTGTCCTAAACAAATAATCTAGCTATTATCATCAGTGCAAATTATTTATTTAAGATTCATTTTTGCACAACTATTTTAAAATGGGATTTTCTCAACCGAGTTTGTGAGACTTTCGCAGTCTCGGACTCAGTTATCTGGTGTTTCTAGTTTGGATACCAAATCACACCCTTTCAATGTGTGAACAACATATGAAATATGTTTTACTTTCATAGAGATATCTAAGTTAAAAAACAAATTCTATAACAATCCATTATTATTTCTCATAATGAAAAGCATAAATTTTACACGAGGTATATCATAAGACAATCCTCTTGACCCTGAGTCCCTAAATGATCTACCCATACATGATCAAAATTAAAACATGCATACCGATAATTGAAAGCATGCATGTGACACAACATTATAAAAACAAAATAGAAACATGTATTGTAGTGAATCAAAATGACAATTGCTTTGGAGAGAGTTGTACAAAGCAAAAACAACGTAACAAAAACAGAGTAAAGAAGCATAGCATGAATATTGCTTTAAACTAGATAATGTAAAGATTTAGTACATTGTTCAGTGTTTTAGCCATAATTTATAGGACCATATGACAATAATCATCAACATAATCACATAATCGTGCAATAAAACGTTTGGGGGGAAGGTCATGGGTATTCAAAAGATAACGGGAGAATCCAAAAGGTTACTCTAAGCTTGAGAGAATTACGACTGTAACAAGAATTACAAACTGATTGTAATTCTCCCTTCCAGAATGTAAAAAGTCCTTACGTTGTGGCCGTTATTTCATATGGAGCCAAAATGTTACTCTAAGCTTGAGAGAATTACGATTGTAACAAGAATTACAAACTGATTGTAATTCTCCCTTCCAGAATGTAAAAAGTCCTTACGTTGTGGCCGTTATTTCATATGGAGCCAAAAGGGGGATTTATGAAGGGAGGTAATTACAACAGTAACTCTCATTATTGGTTGATCTTAATTCATCTTGTTTTTTACTACTTCAATCTTCATTTAGCTTGATCATCAATAATTTGTCCCATATATTCAAAGTGCTTGAAACACAGACAAAAACAAAAAATTGGCAGTAAATCAAACAAAACGGGAAGAAAAGATCAAGAAAAATGCTAAAAGCACATAGTTAAAAGTGGTGAAAATACCATTGGTCAAATCCCCCTATACTTAAATCATCGTTTGTCCTTAGGCAATTTGACTTGCATAGAAAGAATTAGAACAAAGCCATAGTTTTTAAAGAAGAGTTCATGAAAATCATAACATAAGTATTCATACGAAAGTCCACATTCTATTAACCTAAAGGTTATTTCGTCTGATACTAATTTAGTCATAAGGGTCTTGTTGAAATTCAATATAGAGTCTCTCTCAAAAATATAAATTATATTATGGACTTGACTATAAATCTCTATACCTAACTTTTTCTCCTTTCAAACACATAAATCATCAATTTAAGGAATTTTAGAACATGTTTCATAACACACATGCGAGCTTGGGTTGAGGAATTTCTTTTTTCTATTTTATTCATGATATAGGAACAAACTAACTTTTGGGAAGGGAAACATGTTTAGGGCACACCAACTTACTCTGATGGACCATTCTTTATTTGCTTATTACACATTTGCAATTTTTTAAAAATATGTTCCTCCTTTTTTATAGACATTGGGGAACAATCACCATTGGACTGAATAATTGGGTGAGGGTTACCCAACTTAGTAATGCAGTTGCCTTTTACTGCCTTTTTTATTTTTTATTTTATTTTTATGCTCCTTAGTCAATCAACACATGATATGAAATAATTAAAATTATACCAGACAAATTCACGTGATTTACTCAAAAAACACATACAGGCTATAAAGACTACAAGTCAAGTAGAATTAAGTTGATATCTATTTGGGAGACTCTAGGCGTTAGGACAAGACAGTTTTACTAAAATTTTCTCAAGGTCCTTAACCTTAAGCCTCTCTTTACATGAATCAATATACTCTACGAAAATACAATAAAAAACTATTCAAAAGTATTTCCAAAATGTTTTGGCTTGGGGAAGGATATAAATCAAAGGTAACAAACACAAAAACACAAACAAAAAATAAGAAAAATAAATAAAACTAACTAAGAATGGAGTTATCCTCATACTTAAACAAAACATTATCCCCAATGTTTAGTGAAAAATTAAAAGAAAGGTAAAGTAAACTTACAAGCGATCACTATTCTAAAGGAGGTGGTGGCTGGTAGAAGTACCCTTGAGAGACGTGTCAATCATATATTTACTCCACAATCATCTGCTGGTGGCATATTAATTCATTCTTCCCTTAGGGAACACTACATTGTGTTGGGTTTTATTGTGGATCATCAACATATATTTGTCATCTTTTCTAGCAATCAACTTCATAGTGATACACTCCTCCAAGTCTAGCCTAGTATTTCCATGCACGACATGTAGGATCTATAGTTCCCTCTCATGCCCTAAATATTAGGCTAAAACAGTAATTAGGACACCGACCATAATTTCCCCCTTTGTGGCCTTAACAACTGTCATAACTTGTCGTGTATGCGCGCGTGCGCGCGCGTGTGTATGTGTGTGCGTGCGTGCGTATGTGCCCGTGCGTGTGTGTGCATGCATGCGCGTGCGTGCGTTCGTGCGTGTGCGTGTGCGTTTACAATAGGTACAATCAAACTTAGGAGAGTAATTGCAAATAATTACAAATATACTTACAGAGAATAAAACTTAATTATAAGGAAATATTCTATTATCACACCCCGCAGTCGAAGCTGGAGGTTCACAGACGTTTATACTGGTTCGAAAATCATCAAAAAGAACTTGAGGTAGATTTTTTATGAAAATGTCAGGAATCTGGTGACGATAAGGAACATGAAGAACACATGTTTGGCCGCACACTACCTTTTTTCTGAACAGAGCGGATGTCCATCTCAATATGTTTTGTACGCTGATGTCGCACATAATTTCCAGAAAAAGGTAGACGACACAGACATTATCACAATACATCATAGTGGCCTGAGAAAGTGGATAGTGAAACTCCAAGAGAAGGCTATGAAGCCAACAAGATTCAAAAACCATATTAGCAACACCCATGTACTCAACTTCTGCACTGGAGCGAGAAAGTGTGGATTGTTGTTTGGAAGACCGGAAAATGAGGTTGTCACCAAGAAACATACAATAACCAGAGGTGGAACGACAAGTGTCAGAAGATCCACCCCAATCAACATCAATATAAGAGTCCAGTTTCTCAATTGGAGATGAATAGAGATGGAAACCATGGTTTAGGGTGCCTTGAACACACCGCATGATGCGTTTGAGGGCAAGTACACGGTCAATGCAAGAGGAGTGTATGTGAAAACACAACTGCTGAACAACGTAAGAGATGTCAGGACGGGTGAAAATAAGATATTGCAATGCTTCTGCAAGACTCCACTATAAGGTGGGGTCATCGACGGAGATACTGAGATTCTGCTTAATGTCAACTGGAGTGGCAGATAGTTTGCACGAGGTCATGATTGCTCTAGCAACAATGTCACTAACATAAGTTCTTTGACCGAAGAAAAGTCCACCTTTATGTTTGGTGACAACAATGCCCAAGAAGTAACTCAGTGGACATTGCACATAGCTGACTGATGAAAAACCCAAAATTCACCTTTATGTCTAGTGAAAACAATGCCCAAAAAATAATTAAGTAGTCCACCTTAATATCAATATTTTCAAATATTCTTGAATCAATTTATAAGAGTAAGAAATGCGCATATGAAGTTTTATTGTTTGAATCAATTAATAATTAATACCAATGGATACAAACAATTAAACCTCGTTTTATACTATTCTAGTCCTCGATACTTTTATTTATTTATTTTTAATGAAATCATATGAACAATAGAGTACATGTGTTTTAGGAAATTAACAAGTACTTTTTTCTTCTTTTTCTTTTTATCTGGTAAACTTAACTAGTTTTTTTTCTCTCTAAAAAATTGAGCAACTAAAATCTTTTGTGAAACAATTTTTAAATAAAAAAGTAACAAAAATAAAATCCTACTCTTACCAAGCTTGATGCGTGTGTGTGGTGAGGTGATAAAGGCTTCATCCACTAGCAGCTGGTGAAGGAGTGCTCCTTTTCTCTCCTTCACCCACCTCATTTCTTTATGATAACATTAACACATTAACTAACATGTTGCTTTTGCAACCACAACTAACCGCTACTCCGTTACCGTTCCATTCAACCCGCGTTAAAATTTTCCCAATTCATCGCCGCCGCCGCCGCCACCACCACCATGCCATCTCTCAACCACCTCCATCCGCCGCCACACCTTTCTCATCCGCCAGCCTAATAATCAAAGAAGACGGCCCCGACGACATTCTTTCCCTCCAAAACCGCCGTTACGACTTCGCTCCCCTCCTCCAATTCCTCTCCAACGATTCCAACTCCAACAACAACAAAAACACAGACTCGCCCTCTCCCACTTCCCTCGACTCAACCGAGTTCCAACTCGCCGAGTCTTACCGAGCCGTTCCAGCTCCACTCTGGCACGCGCTTCTCAAATCGCTCTGTTCCGATTCCTCCTCCATTAGTCTAGCATACACCGTCGTCTCATGGCTCCAGAAACACAACCTCTGTTTCTCCTACGAGCTTCTTTACTCAATCCTCATCCACGCGCTTGGACGAAATGAAAAGCTTTACGAAGCTTTCTTACTCTCTCAAGAACAGGTTCTAACTCCGTTAACCTATAACGCTTTAATCGGTGCTTGTGCTCGTAACGGTGACCTAGAAAAAGCACTTAACCTAATGTCCAGAATGCGTCATGACGGTTTTCAACCTGATTTCGTCAATTATAGTTCAATTATCAAATCCCTAACTCGTTCCAATCAAATTGATTCTCCGATTCTTCAAAAGCTTTACGCTGAAATCGAATCAGATAAAATTGAAGCCGACGCTCATTTATTAAATGATATAATCCTCGGTTTTTCGAAAGCCGGTGACGCAACACGAGCAATGCATTTTCTTGCTGTTGCTCAGGGTAAAGGTTTGAGAGCTAAATTGGGAACTCTTGTTGCGGTTATATTAGTTTTGGGAAATTCGGGTAGAACGGTTGAGGCAGAGGCGTTGTTTGAAGAGATTAAAGAAAATGGTTTGGAACCGAGAACTAAGGCTTATAATGCATTGCTTAAAGGTTATGTGAAAACCGGTTCTCTTAAAGATGCAGAGTTTGTTGTTTCTGAAATGGAGAAGAGTGGTGTTTTGCCTGATGAACATACTTATAGTTTGTTGGTCGATGCTTATTCTCAGGCTGGAAGATGGGAGAGTGCAAGGATTATGTTGAAAGAAATGGAAGCGAGTAATTTGCAGCTGAATTCATTTATTTATAATCGAATATTGGCAGGTTATAGGGATAAAGGGGAGTGGCAGAAATGTTTTCAGGTTTTGAAGGAGATGAAGAGTTGTGGTGTGCAGCCTGATAGAAATTTTTATAATGTGATGATTGATGCTTTTGGGAAGCAAAATTGTCTTGATCATGCGATGGCAACATTTGAACGAATGATGTCTGAGGGGATTCAACCGGATACAGTTACGTGGAATACCTTGATTGATTGTCATTGTAAGTCTGAGCGACATAATAGGGCGGAAGAATTGTTTGAGGAAATGCAGCAGAAGGGGTATTCGCCTTGTGTTACGACTTATAATATTATGATTAATTCTATGGGTGCACAGGAAAGATGGGAAAGAGTGAGTGATTTGTTGCGCAGAATGCAGAGTCAAGGATTGTTGCCCAATGCTGTTACATATACAACTCTCGTCAATATTTATGGAAAATCTGGAAGGTTTAATGATGCCATTGAGTGCCTCGAGGTCTTGAAATCTATGGGATTCAAGCAAACTTCGACCATGTATAATGCCCTAATTAATGCCTACGCACAATGGGTATGTTACATATGCATGTTATTCTGAATTGTTATTGTTATTCTTGAATTGAAAAACACGCAGAGGCATTGGCTTTGGGACTGGGTGGGAAACACACCATATTTGTATCTAGAATACCTCATCTTAACTTATTTAACGAGTTGATTGGTTAGTTAGTAATTTTGGTAATACTTTGCATGAATTTGGGCAGGGTCTGTCCAATCAAGCTGTAAATGCATTTAGGATGATGGCAGCTGAGGGTCTTACTCCCAGTCTTCTAGCTCTCAATTCCTTAATCAATGCTTTTAGCGAAGATAGAAGAGACGCCGAAGCCTTTGCTGTACTGCAGTACATGAAAGATAATGTATGTCTTTTACTATATTTTCTCCCCCCCTCTCTGTCTTTTGGGCCAAAGACCTTAAGTTATATGTTACTTATTTGTTTGTGAACTACAGGGTATTGAACCTGATGTAATTACTTATACTACACTCATGAAAGCTTTGATTCGTGTTGAGAAAATCCGCAAGGTACCTAATATACCATAATTGCAATCAATATGCGTTGTCTATGTTTTTATAATTCTTCACTCTTGCATCTGGTCAATGAAATTTATCATATAGGTTTTTTTAGCTCCAACGTTCCTAGAACTCCAACTCTGTTTTTTTTTTTCTGTAGTTCTTGTCTATATTGGTTTTGCAGTCCGAAAGCCACGGTGACTCACAGTAAATTAATAGTTAAGGAAAAATAATGTAGCTAAATTCATAAATTGCTTTGGGTCCATTCTTTTGCCATGTCTTTGATATGTTAAGCACCATCCACATTCCACCTCATCTCTAATATAGATATGGTGTGTGATTTTTTATAGAAGAAAAACAATTGGGTAAAAGTTGTAGATCCTGTTTTTCCAACTTATTTGTCACTTACAGTCAGTCAACTTCATTGCACAAATTATGCTGCATCATTTGGGTTTCAGGTTCCAGCAGTGTATGAAGAAATGGTTAGGTCTGGATGCACTCCAGATAGAAAAGCTAGAGAAATGCTGCGGTCTGCTCTTAGATACATGAAACAGGAACTAAGATCATAAATTATTAAGCACACTAATAAAGCCTATACAGAGTTGTAAGCGGTAAAATAAAGTTGATTTTGGTCACCTGGTATACGTGGTTCTAATTCTGAAGGTTAGTGCTAGCTTGCTACCTCTGCTTACAATTGCATAACACACATGCTTTGGCTTTTTAATGAATAATATATACTCTGGATGAGGGTTTGGCTGAAATCAATCTGCATTTTATGTTAAATTGGTCTTTTGCCTTCATAATTTGCAAGCATTTGCGCTTGGAAAAGACACGATTTAAGTGTGTTTTAAGTTTGTTTTAAAACTTACCACATTACTTATCTGTAATAATTTAAATTGTGATGAAACTTATAATTATCAGTTAATCTAATAATGATAGTATGATTACAGCTGCGACTTAGCATAGACGGTGTTGCAGAAATATATGCAGTGTTTACCATTTTGGAAATGTACGTTCCTTCTGTGACAGAACAAGAAACGAAGTCTACGAAATCACGTGGAACTACCCGAAACTCAAAAATGAAAACACTTGCGGAGACACTATTGGCTTCTTCTAATGTTGTATCATCTAGTATGTCTTGGGGATTAATGTATTATATATCCTTTTCACATTGTATTGTATGTTTAATGTAACTTATGTAAGTAAAGTTTATACATTGAAGTATACATTGAAGTACATGTATTTCATGTTCATAAGTGGGAGTCGCTGTAAATTAGAAAAAGGAATAGTGTGTGGGCATTCATTTCAATCTCATCCGCAATGCTGCACTCAAGTACATTTGAAACCTTCTATTTACGGGTTATCTTCTATCATTTTGTCGAAGAAAAAATGTTTATTTTTTTATCATACGAGTGCGGAAGCATTTCCGCAGGCCATTTGAAACAGTTATTTACAGCTTGTTTAGGTTTATGTTATAGCATTTTGTCTAAAATGAGATATTATATTATATCATATAAACATCTGTTCTTGAATTTTTTGTGAAATAGCTTACAGCATATTCACATGTTATTTTCAATTTGTTTCATTTGGCAACATAAAAGCTAACAATATTTGATAACATAAAAACTAACAAACTATATTGTTCATACTTCATACGATGAATTTTATGTAATCTAAAAGGCAATAGAATCAAATGGTTTCATTTCTTCATCTAAAATTAGATGAATATATTTTATGTAGCATAACGAATTAAGACAGCTCTTATCACCATATGGATGCATTACTACCCGAGCGGATATGCAGCACAGCTTTTCATTCTTTCATCCCCGAGGTGGGCACAATAAAGGATTAGAATGTATAGCCTAGGAAGAAAGGGACAATACAGAGTAGTGCAGCCAATAATAATAAATTAACAGTTTTTTCTCAAAATTGGATATACAGTTTCTGCTACGACCTAGTTTTAAAGGGGAATGAATAGCAGAAACAATTGGTCTACCCCCCTTAGTTTTAGTTTTTGAAATTCTAGAACAGAACATGCACAAAAGTAAAACTGACGATAGTAAAAAGAGCCTATAATATGTTCTTATTTCTTGCATTCCAAGCTCAAGTACCTCCATCTTTTTTCCATATCTATTCCTTCTCTCCATCAAATACCCATCTAAATACTCATCTATTGATACTAACTTATCCAACTTAACCACAGATGCTATTGATTGGATTTCACCAAGCTGGTGTGGCCCCAATTTAAATATCTTAAAGAAAGCTGCAGACCAGTCCTCGAGAACAGTCTGTAAAAGATAATTTCAGATGTTAGGATTATCAATGTTCAACTTTTTCTAAATGTCATATCCCTCTTCTTAATTGAAAGTTTAAAAAATTAGTTTATTTATTTTTATTGTTAATAAATTACTTGAAAGGAATAGAAACAACTCTCAAATAAACTTGGAAGGAATGGAGTGATAATTGCAGTTAAGTATTCAAGTAACATACATTGTAGCTATCACGGTCAGTGGGATTATAACATTTTAAAACAGTCATTTGATGCAGCAGTTGCGTCCCCATATATCTGTCGGTCAATACAAGACGTTAGGACACCACAGTCAAATCTGCTAGTACAAAATGGGAAGACGTCTAGTAATCATGCGGTCAAATCTGCTAGTACAAAATGGGAAGACGTCTAGTAATCATGCATACACAGTCAAATCTGCTAGTACAAAATGGGAAGATGTCTAGTAATCATGCATACCTCTAAGGTGAAGGCCAAGGGAACCCTCACAACGTCATACATGAAATCGGTTGCTGTCCCATGCGCAAAATACCTGGAGAAGCAAGTTCTTATTTGAGGAAGGATTGACACATAAACTATGGACAGCAATATAAAGGCATTTCTCTGCCTTAAGACTAGTAAATTTCCGAAGCACTAAAACAGATCATGTATGTTATACTTTTAAAATTTACAATTTACAATTTTCAAATTAACACTTTTGGCACCTAAAATTTAGTACAACAGAGCAACCACTTGCATCTTCCAATTATAAAAACGAAAAAAGCCCGAGTCCCTAAGATGTCAATTAGCCAAACTTAGATTAATGTACAGCTTTTGACAACCAACAAGCTCATCACGGGTTTACTGTGTTTTGTGCAAGAGTATCTCTCCATCTTACATGCACTTGGTTAAGTTTCATATTTTGGATGCATCCAAAATAAATAAAATAGACATAAAAACTGCAATAGTTAAATTTATCCTCTTGTCATGAGTGACATAATTCCTGAGGTAGGAAAATAAGACAGAAGAAAATACAGAACAGAACTTTGACACTCATTAAAATAAACTAACGAGACCAACTGTTCATTTTTTTAGCACTGAAGATACATAACAGAAGAAAACAGATATATAAATCCCACACATTTGGCCTAGTGAAAAATTTGTATCAGTACTATCATCATCAGATTCAAATAAGAATTAACTAACCCTACAGAACCGCCTCCAGACCCAATCACACAACGCTTTTCGCAATGAAGCGGATTAACTTCTTCAAGCAACGCCTTCATCCGATGCAATGGCAATCCATCAGGTGTTGTATTTTTGTGATCATATGGCATAAAAAGGGCCTGCAAAGAGGGTTGGAAAAGGGACAGTAGTATTTGTAATATAAGTTCATATGATGATGGTTCCAAAGCATCTTTACCAAATTACATAAATTATTGAATTTGAAGCAGAAGAAGAATGAAAAGAAGAACAATATAAAAAATATATATATATAATCAACACATATGTCTTAACTGAATATCATTCTCATAAAAGTAAACATAAAGTCAAGTATTGTAAAGCAGCAAGTATAACAGCTAAAACAACAGAAGTAAATAATACTTGGTAGGAGCCGTGGGTTGAGAAAATATCACCTACTTGATATAAGAAAATTTAGTATGATAAGGGGCAAAGTTTTAACCACAAAACAAGGCTTAAATGACAATCAAACAATTGTACTATTAGTCTATCTAAAAATTGAGTGGGGTTATGTGCCTCCGGTATTGCCAAATGTGGACTCCATCCCTGGTCAGAGTCAAGTACTATAATGTTAATAATGTATGCCTATATTAACATTTACATCTGATACTTCTGTTTCCAAAAGAGATTATAACAATTTCTATCATATCTTTCTTTCAGCTGCACAACAATATGACAAATCTTGGAGGAGTCTAAAACATAACTTTGATTTCAAGATATATTTTTTCTTAATTTAAGAAGGATAGTACAAGAGTAGTAGTAGCACGGTTTGTTAGCTAAAGGATTAAATGTGAAGCTTGTGTTACTGGTGAGACATCAAACTAAAAAAAAATAAAAAACATAATTAGGACAAATGGATTCCAGTAGCCATTTTTAAAATGAGAGTCTAGTTTTGCATGCCTACAAGCTTACTCTACTATATTATCCTGACTGTCCGATCAAGATTGGAGAACTCTGATTTAAAACAGGTGATTTTGGAAAAATCAAATCTGTTTTTGTGAACCGTGCGATCGAGATCAAACGGTCAATATTATCTTGACAAAGTGAATGTGGGAAAAATTTGACTGCAGGGGATTAAATTTCGAAAAATTCATGTTTTAGAAAGATGCAGGCTGCATCTATAATATGCATTGGGTTGGCAGAGTTCCAACTGATGCCAGTTCTTGTGTATTTTTCAACATGATATTGGTAAACTTGGACCGTAAAGTTATTCCGGGAGAAATCTTGACTACTCAACATAGAGTTTTGATTATGGATGTAAAATTTAAGGGAAGAGCAAAGAAAATAAATCATAAGGTAGCGCCAAGGATCAAGTGGTGGCATTTGAAGGGTGAAAACAAGAAATTTTTCAACACAAGATCTTGGAGGGAGGGTTTGGACAACCACCAGGAAGTGCACATGATATGTGGAATAAGATGACCCAAGAGATTAGAATTGGTTAAAGAGACATTGAGTGAATCAAAAAGTTTTGGACCTAGGGATAAAGAATCATGGTGGTGGAATGAAAGTGTCCAGAGTAAAGTTAGAGTAAAAAAGAACTGATTTAAAGTTTGCTCTAGGTGTAAAGATGCTGAAACGTGGAGAAAGTACGAAAAAGCTAAGAATGAGACCAAAAAGGCAGTGAGTAAAACAAGAACCCAAGCTTTTTGATGGATTATCCCAATCTCTAGGAATTACGAAGGAAGAAAAATCTATATATAGGCTTGCTAAGGGAAGAGAAAGAAAGACTAGAGATTTGGATCAAGTGAAGTGTGTTAAAGATGAAGGCAAGGTCTTGGTTTGAAAAAAAGATATAAAGGATAGGTGGAAGACGTATTTCTACAACCTATTTAACGAAGGATATGATATCGCACCGGAATCTAGCAGACTCGACATTAGAGAAGCAGATCGGCATTATAATTACTACCGTCAGATCCAAAAATGGGAGGTAAAGGAAGCCTTGAAAAGAATGAGTAACAGTAAGGCGGTTGGACCAGACAACATACCAATTGAAGTGTGGAAAATCTTTGGAGATAGAGGTATTCGGTGGCTCATCAATCTCTTTAATGAAATTGTGCAAAT